TTTGCTGAACCAGACATTTATAAATTGCATTCAGTCAGAATGGGTGCTGAAAAGGTAGGGTGGCTAGGAAGGGAAAAAGGAAAAGAGGGAAAAAAGGAAAAGGGGAGGGGAGGGAAGGGGAAGGGAGGGGAGAGGAATCTCAGTCACAATGTCTCTGAATTGCTGCTTTATACCATCACATCTGCATGAGACACTTTTATGGAACTTCTCTGATTCTATTATTCGATTCTAACTAGGTGATGGAACATTCTAGTCTTTTACAATGATATCTAAATATGCCAAATCACCTTTAGCAGCTGCTTTTTCTTATACCAACACTTCACTTTTTTTTTCTACTACTTATCAGTTTTGCATCTGAAGGAAACTGAGTAAGCCATTTTCTTATTTTGTTAAGTACAGATGTAGCTTTTGATTTAACTTTTTCAGACTAAAGCTAAAAGATGTTTTCCTCAGAAAACTGAATGACCACATTTCAAGTCTGGCAGTAGCTGCTCTCAGCAGCCAGCATGTGGATCACCTAACTACAAGTGTGTAACTGAGATACCAAAAGAGGAGGACATCTGCAAAGTCAGCTATGCCATTTGGAAAAGCTCGTGCTCAAAGAAGCTGAGGGTGCTCCAAACTGATATACCTCAAATTAGAGCAGAATCTGGAACAATGTAACCAGAGGGGATGAAGGGGAGAAGTTTAAGACTCCAGGACACTTCCATCAAACACCAGTCATACCGAAGCTTAAACGTATATTCAGTAAATTGTGCCAAACTCCATCATTGCTGCTTTCTCTCACATATTTCTTCCCCTTTCCTCCATTGAATTATGCTGTAAGTCCCTTAGAAAGTGTTTGAGTATCTACAGGCCTTGGAACAGAATCTGTAATGGCATAACAGCAGAAATATTTAACAAAATTCAAGCCAAAGAGAAGATATAGATATTTTTTTAATTCTTACTTCCCTTGGCCATTCTAAGTAACTCTGGATAAGAACAAACTGTTTGTACATATCAGTAGAAGACGCATCATCTACAAACTTCATCTACAGTGGTGTAAATATGCAGAGAAATCCAGATATGGAATAGTTTGCTCACATATCTCTTTCCAATAGAATTTGCTTCTCGCTGATTTCACCTGTTATTCTAGACTAAAATGGGAAGTTTCTGCAAAGTAAATTCAGAATAATGTTTCTTGATTTGTCAGCAGCAGAAATCATAATTCATCATAACTTATCTCATAATTTTTAATTCTTACATAGAAAAGCCAATAAAATGAAGAAAAAAAACCAAACCAAACCAAACAAAAAACCAACCAAGCAAAACAAACAAAAACAAAAAAGAGAAAGCTCTTTCTTTGTACTCCACAGCACCAGCCACATCATATTTTAGAACACCTCTGATACTACTACGTCAAAAAATTGCCAAACACAGCACAAGTAGAGAAGTATGCTCTTCTAATTTTTCAGGATTTCTTGAAAGTTTGTCAGTAAGGTATTAGGAATTCACTCAACTCTGAAAACCAAGTTATTTTTACACTCACGTTTCTAGTTTCTACTTTGGAACTGCAGAACAGTCAGCCTCATGAAGTCACACTCCGAAGCCCAAACTTTGCATGTTTCCCCCACATTGTGCATATACATCCAAGGTCACCAAGACTATTTTGAGTTCATGGACGTGTCTACTTGTACAGAAAAAAGAAGTAAACACATTTTTTCTGGAAACCTGCTTGCAGACTCAGGTCTTCTTCCGTATTCCTAACCAAGGAAAATTATTGCAATTTAAAAAAATGTGGAGAAAATCCTGCAATGTGACAGATCAGCTGTAAAAGCACACACTGAAATGAGGACAACCTTTAAGCCATTTGAATCTTCTTCATGAAACCAGATTTTTTTCTGTGTCATACTCAGCACACAGAGATTTTCATTTTTCAGAGCTATAAGGAATTTGACAAGTAAACCTACTACAGTTAATAGCATTTTAATCTTTATGCATAATAACCTACATTGTACAGGTTTGGTAATAATAACTGACAGCTGAATTTGAAGTATACATTTCGTTCCAAAATAGATGCATGTGTGGGTGGATGTGTTGTAGAAATATAATATACTACGCGGCTGAGCCCAGATAAGCTGGTGATTCTCAAACATCACTATCATCTGCACAAAGTTAGGGTAGAAATCTGCTCCTTTAAGTACCTGTTCATCCTTCTTATGACACTTTCTTTAAAGGGCTCCATGAATAGTAGATAAAATAAGTATCTAATGAGATATGACAGAAACTCTGATTGAGCTAAACAGCACATATTTGAATTCTAATAAATAAATAAATGAAGTAAAACATTTACTGCCAGCAACTATGTCAAGTTAGCCATAGGAAACTGTAGCTCTGCAGCTGGAGAAGGGCAATACTCTGCAAGCCAGAAAAGCAATGGAACTCCTCCAGCTTTGATTATTTACGGTGTGATGATGAAGGAACAACTTTCCATGTGAGGAACAGCTTTAAAGTCAAACAGTGAAGCTGAAATAGAGATTTGATGAAAAATCAGGGGGGAACAAAACTACAGCTACAAAAACAATAACATTCGGTTTAACAATTTAAAAACATAATTTATGTGCAAAACCAGATGTTAACTTGTCCAGCTTCAAGGTAAACAGCAAACTGTATTCATAATAACCCTTCTGCTGAACAGCAAACATGCACTACTTAATGTCGTTGTCTATAAAGGCTCACTTCCTACCTCCAAATGTTATCAAAATGAACAAAAATGCAAAACAAACACATCTTAAACAAAGGACACATCTGTATTTAATGCAAAGCTATTTTCAAAAATCCCAACCTTTCATACTCTACTATAATCTTAATAGCCTGAAACATAAGAATGCTTTCAGGCTCAGTAAAAAGCTTCTAATTTTAAACATTTATGAGGACACTGAGAAGTGGCTTAGAACCATGCTTTAAAACATGTTTTCAGGCTTTAAACTGCTGAAAGTTGAGACCTTTACCATTTTGCCTGGACTACAGAAAGGGAAAGGAGCACAAAAACATGATGAAAAGAACTGTACATGAAAATTTCTATTAAAAAAATGCAACTGACTCCCTCTTCTCAAAGCCCTTCCTCTCCTCCCCTCCCCACTGCACCTCCTTCTCACTGAAAGGCACTGACTCCTCTTGCCTGATGACCACGACCAAACAACTCATCTACATCACTGGCTCTGATGCACCACTGTTTTTAATAATTACTTTTTGAAAATATTTTTAAAGGACAACTCTGCCATCACTGGTGCTGTTCCTGAACAGGAGGGACTCTGTCTCAGCACTGCATTCATGTCAGCTCATTTTAACTATACCACGGGACATGTGATTATGCAAGAAAGGTGATTTGATGTTAATTCTAAATAAAGAACACGATCAAATCTTTTAAATGTTTGGGGTTTTTTTCCCAACTCTTAAAATGCATGTTGAGGGAATGAACTTCCCTTTGATATAGTATAACTATAGGGGAAGGAGGCATTGTTCTCACATTTCTGTTTCAGCGAAAACACCATGTTATTTGATTTTTAAAGTTGAAGGATTTAACTTCAATTTGATTTTAAAGTTGGGGGGGGTAAAAAATGCTTCTAAATGCAACACAGTCTACTAAGTTAAATATGGCTTCAGTTTGATACCAAACACTGACTTTAAAATTAACTACTCCTTTCCAAAAGTGCCCATGAAAATAAACATGAATATATTGTAGGCATTGAAAATGGGTGTGTCAAGAACAAGTAGTATTTTACAGTAATTCAGCACAAAAAACAAATATACAAAAGCAAAGAAACAGCACAAATATGTATTAAAACAACATATAGTAGGAAGGAAGTTTTGAGAATCCACAGGGATTCTTCCACCTTACCAAGCACCTGTATAGTTCTATGAGTATTTTCTTTCTCTCTTTTATTATACTTGGCTCCTGCCCTATAGTTCATCTCCAGGGCAAAGCACCATGAAACAAAAAATTGCATTCAAAACTATTAGCTCATCAAAATTGCCTTTCTTGTTTAAAAACAAAACACATACACAAAGTATTACAACAGCTTCTGGAATCCTATTCAGAAAGTCCAACATTTTTAGATCTCTTTTCATGTTCTCATCACCATAATTTTTGCAAAACAGTGAGAGGCAACCCAGGACATTTTAAGAATGACTCTTTCATCATTGCAAACCCTCAATTATGGCTGACCACAGAGATGAACAGAGTAGTACTGTAGGGACAGTACTGGTGTATTTTTCAGCTTGCCCTCTAATGTGCTCTGACTTCCGTTGAACAGTGATGTAGTGATTTCTTAGACTGCCTCCTTTATTACTCCCAAAATAATTCAGTGGTACATAAGGCTTTGAGTAACAGCAGTTTAAACACCAATTTCAAACTAGATTCAATGGTTTCAATGACCTTTTTGTCAAAACTGAGCTCCAGAACGCCATCCCTTACAGCCTGACCAGACTTGCCCCCTTGGAGATGTGCTGCAATGGTCCCTACCCCTGCCTGCCCTGCTGCCAGGGATCACAGGATGCACTGCTCCTCTGCCACAGGCTGCCACAGCTTTGCTCCCTGGTAAGGGAATGGTTACCAGCTCCTGATATTGGAAGGTTAAGGTGTTGCACACAGTTCCTCCAGTACAGCAAATCTGGCAACACAAGTTGCCACAGATTTACAAGTGAAGGAACAATTTCCCTTTAGAGCCAGAGACTGGGTCAGCTGTAGAGGTACAGAAGTGATACAGCAAGAGTGTTAAAGGCAGAGTGCTAACAGTGTTGGCAGTGGTGTTGCTGTGACTGGAGGTGCAAGGAATACACTAAAAGTCCACTGTGAGACATGCAGGCTATTGCAGAATGTCAGACTTCCCACAAGTAACCAATTCAGATCACTACTTTTAAAACAAACTTGTTCTTTTTCATAAAGCAGTCCAGCCTGGAGAGCTTCAACTTGATGGCCAGCAAATAATTCATCTTCAACCCAAAAAGCTACCGGCAAATAAATGTATGTAGAGTTTTTATTTATAAAATACAAAATCTTTGCTATTTCCAGGACGGAATTTAACAACAAAAAGGCCTGCAAGCAATAAACATGGCTGAAGACACTGAAATCAAGGAAACCAGAATGAAAAGTTCTGAAATTACAGATCATAAAACTCTTGAATGCCAGCTGCATGTATGCACAAGTGTCCAACAGAACTGCAGGGAAACATGTATTTATCACAAAGTTTGGAAGTACGATTGGGACTGAAATTACACTTACAGTGGGTTTTGTAATTTCATTCAAGATTAAGATTGCTTCATATAAATTGATTTATTTCTGTGTGTACAGTATAATTTAACTCTAAAATCTTTTTCTTTGATGTTAACCATTAGTATTGGGTATTTGCTGCTATGAAGTTCCTTAAACACAAATATTAAGTACAGTGTTTCACAATCAGCTTCCAAGTACCCATCTGGAATGACACTGAATAAATATATTTTCTATTCACCAAAATAAAGATTAGCATAACTTTAAAAAAAACCCAACAAACCCACCCAACAAAACTTTGAAGTGATACTTCTGTTGAGTTAGTTTAGCAAAACAGTGAAAAAAACCTAAAAAATTTGCTAAGGTAGTTGATGTTGTTCATAGCATTGCAGAATTGAGCTTCAATATTCACCATTATTAGAAAATTCAATAATCCCTTCTTTTGATACTAAACTAAAAATTGTCCATAAAGTGGAAGGGTCTTCACAATTATGATGACTCTGCCAATGACTAAAAAGATCCTCTTTTTTTCCAAATAGCTGTTTGCATAAAATGCAGTTATAGCCTGCTTTAGACCAAAATTCCATTTTCTTGCTTGCTGTACCAAACCCCATATTTTGCATCTCCTTGGTGGTTTCACCACTTCTTGCCTGAGTCACTTCGCCTTTTGGTAAAATATTGACATTATTTTGATGTTGAAAGTATATCTGTCTTTTCAGTTTTGGAAAAGTATAAAGCTCCTCCTCACGGGCACTGCATTTTGCTAAATGTCTTCTCTCGTTGTGCTGTTTCCAGAAGTGGGTTGTATGTTTGATCAGTTCCCCTTTTGCTCCTTTATTTCCTTGCAAACCCCCCTCCTTTACCCTTCCCTGAATCTCTTCTCCATGACAGCACAGTAAGTGGAACTTCATTTCACCAAAAGACTGTGCAATAAACTGGCATCGGCCACATTTGACTTGTATTTTCACTCCTCCCGGGTTATGAAATAGGTCCTCAAGATTGCACTTATTTCCCCTGTTAAAAAGAAAGGAAATACAAACTATTTCAGTATTAGTCAGGCACAGAAGAGGGATGGCGGTTTCTGTCATAAGTTCCAAGAAGAGATGACAGTCATAAAACACTTTTAATTAAAAATAAGCATTGTGTTTACAGTATCTAATTCATTTGGAAGAGAGGAAAAAAAAAAGAAAGAAAATAATAGTAAGGTTGTTTAGGAAGCAACTGAAACCAAATGTTATTTGACACTTCTGAGTTTTGGAATTGCCTCCAAAATTAGCCTTGGTAGAAATAACCTTTTAACAACATTAGCCTTTTAATAAAAGGTTGATAACTGTTTTTAAAGTTCTGATTCAGTGAGATCAATCCAAATACTTCTAGTGCTGTGCTGGAAAAGTGAAAATGACTATTACCTGTAGTGTACTACTAAGAGAAACTTCTTTGTTTACAGTGAGTGTTCTAAGGTCAATTTAAGGCAAAAACACATGTCCCACCTCCCTTTCCAAGATGGAAACAATGAAACTTCAAAGTTTCTTGCTTTTTTTTTCTAAAAGTCTGTAACATGGTTTTAAAAGTCTGAATACCTAATTCACAATTAGATAGTCCCTCTCCCTGACTCAGGACAGCTCTGCAGTATAAAGGATACACAGTCCCTGGTAACCTAAGCCAATCAAAACAAGATCTCCTCAGAAATCTTCTCAGAACATCTAGGAAAAGGATAATACTGTATTTATACACATTAGAGAGATTACCCAGTAAAACAGATAAACTGAATGATTCACTTTGTGATGACTAGTAAGACTGACAGAAAAGTGCTGGTGTTTCTTAGGCTCAAGATATTAAACATTTCTAACTGATGCCCCAGAGAGTGAAGCTATGCAAAGTAAAACGAGTAAAATTAAAATGCAGTGTTGCAGTGAGGAGTCACATCAAAGGCCTGAATGTTCTTCGGTTAAAGTAAATGCACAGTGGAACAAACAAAAAAGCCAACATTTATATTGTGTCAAGAAATTTCACCCCAAAATCACAATGCAGTGGTAAAAGAAGGTTCTATCCATCCTAATATGGTAAATATTAACTTTTCTACTTGTTTGAGCGATGGCAAAAGCAGCAGTAATCAACACACAAGATGGATTAGCTCACAACACTCCATAGAATGAAATGGGATAATGACATTTAGGAGGGAAAACAAACTATAAGCTAATAATGAAATATGAATCACTTCTTGCTTACTGCAGTTGGTTCACTTGTCTTTTAGGGAAACCCCCGAAACAGGTAGGACAGAAGACAGTGCAGATTAACAGAGTATTAACCAATAAATGGCAATATTACTAGAATATATGCAAAATTACTTTGGATATTCAAGTGTCAGTAATGATTTATAGCCAATAAATCAGCTAAAATATACTGGATGGTCTAATGTATTGACTAGATTCAAGGACAATATTTAAACCATTAGGAATCTCACTTGGCAGGAGGGGAAGCAACAATTTTCCTAATGGTGATGTTTATGAATTTCCACTGACAACTTGAAATCCTGTTTCCCCTAGCATTTAATTAGTGAAAATGCTCACCTCTCTGTAGCTTCTTCTGTCTCTTTTATATTCGTGTCTCTCTTCTTTAAAGCATCTTGCATCTGTTGCTCGCTAGGAGGGGGCTCAGTGCTGATAACAACCCTGTGGACTTCTCTGAGGTGGCCAAAATACACTTTTGCATGGCCAAAAACTTTAGCACAGAATTCACAGCACACCAGCTTTTTGGGTTTGCTTTCATTGTGATGAAGCTTCATATGCGTGCTGAGCCTCCCAGAATGGATATACGCTTTCCGGCAAATCCGACAGCTGTAGGGCCGTTTCTTCGTGTGTGAGTTCATGTGGTCCTGGAGATGGTGTTTGAACTGGAAGGTATAGTTACAAACAGGACATCTGTGCAGTGGCTTAGGTGTGGCTGAACACGCATTTCTACTTGAATCACTTGATTTAGCTGATGTAGCATCACTTTGCTTGTAACTCAAATATTTGCTGGCAAGTGAACCATTTAAAGGAATAGCTTGCTCTGAATGGACACGAGGTGGTGTCTCTGCTGTTGCTGGAGAAGTCAGTGGTGTGAAGGTCTGCACAACTACCACCGGCTTCGGTCTAATACTACGGTATTTTTTCACTGCTTCTGCTTTTTTGTCTTCAGGTGTCTGAATATCAACCTTCTCCCTCTCTCTTCCTTCTCTAAACTTATTAATGATGCATTTCCTTCGCTTGGTCTGAAAAGCCAATAAATCATCTGAGGCTCTTCTTTTCCTGCCTCTTTTTTTAGAGGCTGCACTGTTCAATTTTTTAAGACTGTCGACATCCACTTCACTGGATGGAGAGAAGGTGTTTTCTAGAACAGTTTGTTTGGGGACTTGTGTAGATGACATAGCTAATTGCTTATCAAATGCTTTGGTTTTTGTCAAAGCTGGTGTCTTTTCACATTCAGATCTTAGTGAAGGATCAGATACATCCATAACATTAATATTCTGCTTAGATTTACAAAACAGTGAATTTTTCATCCTTGAGTAAGGCAAAATAGGAAGTTTTCCTTTTGGTGCTGATGGATTCATCTGTATTGTGCTGCCAAGAACTGCTGGTGACAAGACAGCAACAGGATTTGCAGAATTTGTGGGTTTTTCCTTTCGTTTCTCACATGTCATGACTGACTTTCTTGTGGTTTCCGATGCTGTCTTCACAGAGCGCAGACTTAGTTTCGGGGGATTAATTGTACTTGCTGGCTTGGATAAAGAGTCTTTAACTACAGACGGTACAGAAATCTTATTGTTAGCAATTTCAGTTTTGTTCATTAAAGGAGGTCCAGATTCCACACAGTTGCTTTTATTTACTACTGTGGCAACTGCAATTTCGGATGAGTCACAGTCTGTCAGCGTTGCTTGCTCAGTTGAATCTGAACTAGAGTGAGTTTCAGGACAGTCTTCAGTTACAGTAGTCACAGGGGGAGTCTGTGATGAGACCAATGCTTTCGTAGGAATCTTCTTATGTGCACCCAAACCAGAGATTTTCGCCAATTTTTTGTCACCTAGCAATTTATTCCTTACAGACTGGTACCTAGGGATAGGCAGCTTTAGGTTTTCAGAGGGGGTCACATTTGACTGCTGGGCTTGCTGTGTTAAAGCAGGAGCAACATACGGCACAGCCAGCAGGGAAAATGTCCCCTTCTGACCAGCCACCTGCATGACAGTGTAGTTCTGAGCTGGTACCACCAGTGGTTTAGAACCTGCAGCTGAAATCGGTGTGTTTGGCTCAGGCAAAGAAGACTGAAGACAAGAAACCACTCCAGGTGTTAAAATTTTTGGTGCCATTTTTGGAGCAATGGTCCTAAACTGACTTTTCTTCTGAAAACTTTGTATTATATCCAAAGGGGGTTTGTGTTTATCTGTAAAAACAACACAACAAAGCTGTAATATGAAATATAGTATTTCTTTTTACTGTCTCAAAACTAAAACTGCTTACAAAGGATACTACATTACACACAAACTTACACAAGGATATTACACACAAACTTACTAAAAATATTTTGGCATTTAAAAGGCCACCATGTTAAATTTATTATTGAAAAAGTTTCGTGGACAAAACAAAAGCATTGCCTCAAGTAATGTGCTTGAACACAGATATGCAAAAAAAAAAAAACCTCTTAAATGGATGTTTCATTCTAGGTTAGAAGCTACATGGCATTTCAGAACAAATACCCCCATAAACCTCTTCAGCCCTTGAAAAGCTGGACTAGCATGCTGGCAATACTCAGTTGGAAGAACAGGGACAGGACACAGAACTTTTCTGAGCACCTACTCTGTTCATATCTCTCAAACAGAATCATGCTATCTTTCAAAATTTCTGTAATGTTTAGAATTTGTGGGTTTTATCAGATAAAGACCACAGTTTGCCTGATGAAGTCTTAAAAAATAACTGCTATAAACCATGTAAATAATATATAATAAAATCAAAGAAGACTTGAAAGAAGATGTACTATTGTTAAATATCCAATCACAAATATTGCTTATGTGCCATTAATGCTTAATAGAACTACTGTAGTAAGTTATTCAAACATTTTCTTGAAAGATCCCAACAATCTTGACCATTGAAAATTCAGCTACAAAGATCCCAAGCAGTAAGGCACCTTGGGAAGGCAAAAATCACTTTGAGGGAGGAATCACATTAGAATAGAATACATAACAGTACATGCTGGAACCTTGTAATATTGCAGTAAGGTAATTCCATAGGAAAATTTCTATTCCCTGCCATTTTAAAGACTTGTATTAAAAATGCATTTATATATGGTTCTGGACTTAAAAAGGTAACTGTGAATTACTAAAAAACACTGGCAACTCCAGAAAGTTTATCATCTTAACCCTGGATGCTCTTCTCAGACGTCACACGCTTTGCAACATGCACTGAAAGTTACAGACATATCCTGTTTCATGACCAGAACTCCTGGACAGATATACATGCGTGCTCATGGTATGCACATGTGCAGTAAATCCACTGCCTTCAGGACACAGAGGATTCACTGAACAATCAATTATAAACTGTACAGTTCATACACAGTAAGTCTGATGCTTATCAAAACTCTTCGATCCACAGCAGATTCATAGAGCAATAACTACGCAGGGCATAAGCCTTTGATCCTTTTATTGCCATCTACAGCATCAAACCCCAAGTCCATTATGTACCTTCTTTATCCTCCAATTAAGTGAAACTACTGGGCACCACCAAAACTTTCTGCTCAATGTCTGTAGAGATATTCTATATTTCTAGACATTCTGTGCAGACTGGGTTACTGTACCTATGGAAATCCTACACAAATATAGAGATCCCTGTACACAGGGATAAGTCCAGGCCTACAGAGTTTGTGAAACCTGGAAAAAAATGAAACATGGCACAGTTGTTTCCCCACAGCTCTTTTTATTCTCTTTTTTTTTTTTTTTTTTTTTTTTTTACAATCTACAGTCACTAAGTATATAGAAAACTTTACATCTTCAGCTGCTAAGATTGCTATTACTATTCAGATGATTATTTGATTCCTGCAGGGTATCTTCTTGTTGCTGCTTTTGAGTAAACACTTTTAAGAACCTCTGAGAAGAACAATAAAATGATGTAAACTATTGCAATCACTAAAACTAGCCCTGAACTTCAATGGTAGTTACAGGTCAAATAGTATAGCTTAAATACAGCAGATGACAGAACAAATGTCCTTTCCTTTTAGGGACAGAGTCAGTTCTTATTTTTCCAGATTGCGCTTTCCATACGCTTATAATAAAGACTTTCTCCAAACCAGCAGCTATTCAGTTTGCCACTATATTCAACATGAAACTGTTTCCATTCTCTCTCCCATTTGGTTTGTTCCTCTCTCTTTGTATTTCAAAATTTCATTCATTGATTTACATAAAATTTTTAGGAAAGCCAGCACACCTGTGCTACTCGATGTTACAGGGCATCTGCTCCCCAACCAATGGTAACAGGAAAAGGCAGATGTTTTGTTCTGGACATGCCACTTCTACAAAGGTGCCCAAAGGCAGTCAAAGCACCACAAAATAAAGGTTAATTTGAGGTTAGGAGGAAATATTTGTAGAAATAATGTACGGCACTAGCTTTAAAAAGAACCACATGTTTCTCAAATGCATTGACTTGCTTACTGTAAAATTAATCAGTAGAATCACTTTTCTATAAAGAGAGTATCTCCACATATTTTCTCAGTATTCCACAAGAAAATACTGCTCTAGAAGCCAAGACCTTCATGAATATCAACCACAAAATACTCTTTAAAACAAGGTCTGTTTAGATCAATATCCTTCTTATGCAGCTAACACAATACTAAGCATCAACGTAACTGTTTGAGAAGGGGTTTTTATACACCTTTTTTCCAACTGGTGTAATTTTATCACAAGACATCTTCCAGGCAAGCTGTCTGGTATCAGCCTGCAATATAACTTTTTTTTTTTCCCCCAAAGTTTACATTAGACAGTTTAGTGCAGAATATTCATCACAGTGCTTTGAGTAAGCAAAGGATACTCAACTCTTTGAGTTCATTTCCCTCTCATCCAACACAGCTACTGCAGTTAAGTTGCTTAGCCAGTGCCTAAATATAGGGAAGGGTTAGATGCAGACTAGCTGTAGGATATCCTTCAGACTTGTTTATGATTTTGCGAGCAGACTGGGAAAGCTAATTGGAAGAACTGGTGGAAGACTATTTAACATCTTGGATCATGACAAAGCAGCCAGTTAATTCACAGACTGAAGGTTCTACTGACCCCACCCAGAGCGTGCAAGTATCGTCAGCGACCAAAATTATGCTTGCCATTTACAGCTGGTGAAAAGTTTCAACAATTTCCTTTGCACAAAGACAGCCCTACAGTAATTCATGTCTTCACCACACTGGAGGACTTGGATATGCTCTGGCTGTCTGGCTAGTGGAAAGGCTGCTTGGAAATTTCATACGCATTTTTCAGGGACATTCCACTTCTCCCAAAGTTTTTCTGTCTCTGATTCAAAGGACTCACTTTGACTTGACAGCTGTGACCTGAGGAAAGGCCTTTGTGCCTATGCAATTCCATGGCCTCATGCACCTAAGAAGGGGAAGTTTCAGTTAAGGGAGGCTCTGCAACGGCATTTGTGAAGATGGCCTTTGGTTTTGGACAGCATTCTTTCTTCAAGTCACTCTACAGGTCCTTCACTGAAAAGCAATGATTTTTATACTTTCTCTAGAATGAAAAGATTAGCATTAATATCTGAAGGACATGAAGCTTATTTTTAATTGCTGTGTCCTCAGTCTTTCAGACGGGTGTGGATTTGGGGCAACAGGTACACACTTTTAAATAATTAAGCACAAGGCTAAATCAAATGCAATTCAACCCATTTACTTTAAAAGTCTCTGTTAAAGATTAATGGTTACTATGATAGGACCTGCAAGTATCAAATCACTCAGAAACTTTCATCCCTTCTAAATAACCTTAAACTTGTATAGGAGTGGACAGTGACACACCAACAGAAAAATCAATGACGCATCCAATTCTCCGATATAGCCATGCTGGGAAGAGTCTGCCAGAGGAAAGGGAGTCTTCCATGGGGCTGCTCTTCCTCAACGGTTCCCCTTCCTTCCTAAGTAATGCAAGTCTAGTCTACTCCAGTCTGATCTGCCTTACTTCTGTCCTTTCTTCAGTTTGTTTTCTCTCTAAAGCACGTAACATTGCTGAACTCAGACACTCTAGAAAGCATCAGAAGAAATTTAATTTTCACCACTATCTGGTCTATTTTAAACATAACCACCAAAATGCCACAAACCACTGGGTAACAGTGTTAATTTTTTTTAATAATCCTGTAGGTCCACCTCAGTTGTGCAGGTATCCATTTAATTGTGTATGAATCGACAAATGAAAGGCAAATAACACAAAAAAAGATCACCTTGTTTTAAAGGAAAAGACAAAATATAGATAAGGAAGGTTATTGAAATATTTTATTAAATGCACATTTATATTGCTGAGTCTTTTGCTGACTTTGAAAGGAAGAATCTGTTCTATGGGAAAGAAAAAAATTCACAACTTTCTAACAGACAACACTAGATCTTTTTCTGCCAATGACAGTTAATCATTCATTTTGCCAAATCTCCATACACACTAAATACCTGTGGATACTGTCTTTCCAGCACAAGTTTCTTGCTTTTGCTGACCCAGCATACTTTGTTGGACACAATGTTTCTCTGCAGGATTAGCATGCAAAAAACCACCACCTGCAAAAGTGCTTCAGTCAGTTATAAATAGATTCCAGGACAAAAAAAAAGAACCAAACAACCCCCAAAACCAACAAACCCCAGAAAAAGACAATATAAAATGACAATATAAAACATTAACTTCCAGTTAATGCATTAGAAAAGCTACTGCTTCTTGCTCTTTGCCATTTTTCTCTCCTCAAAATATGTTCTAAAATCCAATATATTACATGCCAAATACAAGGTGATAGCTTAATAATTGAGTAAAGCTGGTTAACGTGGCAAACAGATGGGATGGTTTAGTTTCAGTGTCATGGCAGACAGTCAACAGCAGCAAAATAAAAAGCTCAGAAAAGTGAAGGTTCAGTAGCTTTAGTGAGGGTTTTAAATACAGGGGTTAAATTCTATGCTAATTTACATTGCCATAAATAATTTCTATGCTAATTGCCATAATTCCATATAAATCAATGGAACTGCAGATATTCTAGAAAACAGAATTTGGCCTTCTATGTTCAAAACTAGTTTTGCCACACACCTATACAAAATAAGATTGGTAATAAAGCCTATAAACCATGAATGTCCAACTCCATACATTACAGCAATTAATTTGCAGTTGTTTCTACCTTTTCTAATAATAACTACTTGGGTGGAATGCTCTGTTCTGCGTATTTGCATCAGATAATTTTCTAAAATTAATTTCAACAGGAAATGCCAGCCATTGCCAGGTATGTCTGCATTTAAAAAAAATAAATTAAAAAAAAGAATCTAGTAACACATCTGTGCATTAGGTAAAGACCTTGATGTGTGACACAGCAATGTCTCTCTGGTCTGTGAAAAGCTGCCAACATTTGGCAAAGTTGTAATCCCTGGGCACATGTTCAATAGATACTTTAAGCAGCTAATTTTTCCAATGATTACATTCTATTGAATGTGCCTCTGCTTCAAGCTGGGCTGGATTTTCCCTGAGCTATAGTTTTAGGTCCAAACACCCAAGCTGGAACAAGGAAATGGCCTCTCCTTATCTCTGAACTGCAGAACTGACAGTGTGGAAGAGAAACACGGATATACACAGGGCAAGCAGAAAAAGGACAAGAGGACTAGAAATGAGACCTGAAAAGTGTCCAGGCCAAAGAGTCAGGGTGGGATATGGGAATTACACACAGACTTAAGACAGGTAACCAACATTACTATTACATGTGATTTGGAAAGGAAAAGCATTCAAGTCAAAGGGAGAATCACATTTCTTACCTTTTTAGTACTTGATTTTTCAGAGAGTAATATAATTATGTTTGCATAAGAGCGCTTTTGTGCAATTTAAACTAGTTTAGAAAAATAAACAATATAACAGCAGTCTAATGTGAGATTGGAAAATCACAGTACATTATTCACACAAACACTAAGCTATAGAATGTGCAAATACACTTAGAAAATTTATTCTTGTAACCTACAGGAGGAACAAGATCAGTGTTAAAATTCTAGACGGGAATATTAGACCTCTTTGAAGCTATAGATAATTAATTCTGATTTGAGCATAAATGCGATTTGCTAGTTGTGCACTAAGTATTTTATAATTTAGAAAGGTCTTCTCTATTTTACAGTCTGTGCAAGTTTATTATCTTGAGGGATTAGGATTATAGTGCATTTCAAGAAACTCTGTGAGCAGTGGGATACTTCCTGGATTCCTTAAATGGTCTCCAAAAGACTCCTCTTAGCAGAAGAACACATTACAATAACAAAGGTACACAATAAAAAATTTTTTTTTACATTAACTGGACTCCATTGAAGCAGATGTTCAACATTAAAATTTCTAGTGACATTTTTTTAGTGTGGGAATAAGCTAAAACTATTTTTGGCATAAACTGTCACCTTGCAGAGATAAGTCATACAGTAATCCACGACCATGGGTACATAGTTCATATTTCACAGAATCACAGAATCACGCCAAGTTGGAAGGGACCCACAAGGATCATTTAGGGACGTTCTTCAGTTTCCTGCCTAATTCAGTCTTCTGGTTTTGCTTGAAACATCCTTAATGCACTATTGATCATATAATGACATAAGCCAAAGTTTGCACAGATCTAACACAACTTATGAAAAAAAAGATTACACCACTTTATCAATTTCCAGAATTGCTTTTCTCTGTTGTTTGAAAGTATACATAGCAGTTGCTTCATTATTGTGCTGTCATCTATCTAGACTTCTGTGAGGCCTTTGATATGTTCCTCCTCAACATCCTGTTCTCTGATTTGGAGAAGTACAGATTTGATAGATGGTCTATGGAATGGATAAGGAAGGGGCAGGCCAGTTGCAGCCAGAGGGTAGTGATGAACAGCTCGATGTCCCTATGGAGATCAGGGATAAGTGGTGTCCCTTAGGGGTCTGTACTAGGATCGGTGTTGTTTAATATCTTCATCAATGACAGAGACAATGGGATTGGATTGAGTGCACCCTCAGCAAGTTTGCAGGCAAAACCAAGTTGAGCGGTGCAGTTGACACGCCTGAAGGAGGGGATGCCTGAGGGACCCAAACAAGATCAATAAGGTGGCCCACAGGAATCTCATGAGTTCCTGCACATGATCAGGACAGTCCCTGGTATCAATACAGGCTGGGGGATAAAGTGATTCAAAGCAGCTCTGCCGAGAACTTGGGGGTACTTGTGGACGCAAAACTGAGTATGAGCTGGTAATGAGCACTCGCAGTCCAGAAAGCCCATCGTGTCCTGGGCCACATCAAAAGCAGCGTGGGCAGGAGGTCGAGGGGGATTCTTTCCCTCTATTCCACTCTCGTGAGACCCCACATGTATCCTGCTCTGGGGTCCTCGGCACATGAAACACATGGACCTGTTGGAGCAGGCTCAGAAGAGGGGCACAAAAATCATTAGAAGGATGGAACACCTCTTCTATGAGGAAAGGCTGAGAGAGGTGGGGTTGTTTAGCCTGGAGGAAGCTCCAAGAAGACCTTATTGCGGCTTTTTAGTACTTGAAGGGGGCTTAAGACAAGACAGTGACAGACTTTCTTACTGTGCCTGTAGAAACAGGACAAAGCACAGTGGTTTTAAACTAAAAGAAGGTAGATTCAGACTAGATACAAGAAAGCAATTTTTACTATGATCTGCCAATCAATCTCACCAGCATCTTGGTTTCAGTATCTCTGCCCCCAGAGAAAAGTGCAACATAAAACAATACCCATACAAAAGGAGACTTGTTAAACGAAAGTTAATACATCAAGATATCAATGCATTTAGTCACTACATTATCAGCATTAGCAACAATAATACACAAGGAGGTAATTTTTGATTTCTAATAGATTTAGATTTCATAGATCTCTGCACTGTCCTGATGCAAGTAACTTTTAAAATATGTATGAAATACTACTTCTATAGGGACTAACAAGTGGCCAACAGCTTTGAGGTAACCTTTTTGAGTTGTAACATCAGATGTATTAGCCACACAGGTAAATCAATATTCAAAAATAACATCCTATATAAAATGTGGGCAATGCAAGGCTTAATGCAACCTCCTATTAAAAAAGCCTTTTTTGTGTTACTGTATAAAGGAAGAAAGTCTTTAAAGTCCTTCCTAAGAGACAGAACATATATACGTAAGAGATTTTTAGACACTTTTGCTACGGATTTAGAATACATTTATTAGCAGATCTACATGCTCTCTTAACACCTCTCATGCAGTGTTTGTGAACTTTAAAACCTTTCCAATTTTTTTGAAGGGACAGTCTTTCAAGTTATAAGCTACTCATTTCTTATTAAGGTCAACAAAATTAATAGGTCTTAAGCAGATCAAAATATTTTCATATCAAGAAAACTGACATAAAGAGAGCTAGACATAAAGCGTCTGTAATTACTAATAACTTTTTCCACCTTTACAGCTGAAATCACACACAGACTTTTCCCACTATGGCACTAAGAGAACTTAGGAATGAGGTTTATGTAGATAAATCTATGGGCTCAAGATGGTGTCTGGTCTCTGCGACCACACAAATCGCTATTAAATTTAATTTCTATTTAAGCCTGGAACTTCTGTCTAAGAGACATTGTTTGATATATCATCAAAGACTGTGTTTCAGCTTCTATATGCCTCTGCTAGTTTCAGCAACCAAATACGGCAACTTTCAAGTGGGCATTATCTAGAAACCATGCAGCCCTGAGAGAATGCAACGGAGAAGAATGCAAATATGGTGGTTATCTTCTTTGGTTTTGGTTTTGTCCAGTCATTCTGTTCCATAGAGGACACAATCCCCTAAGACTTGCAAAGCAAGGCTGCAGTGATGCAGCCACTTGGGGGAACTAATTGTTCAGAAAACAGCTGAAAGGAGGTGATAGAAGTACTGGTCATAAACTCGTAATTCATAACCCTCCAATAGCGTTGCAAATATAAATTAGGTACTTTAGAAGGTGGGGATAAACACTTGTAATTGGATTTTTAAAAATTATTTCCTGGGAGAGTTGCCAGTTGAAATTTCTTTTAGTGAGCTTCAGGAAAGATATGGACCTAAACAGTAATTCATCCACTGTAAAGTCAATGTCAGCGTAAAGTCACTTCTAAAGGGTGTGTTGATCAAATCAACCTGGACGGTATCTCAATATGCCTAATGTAAGTGGTAATTAATAGACTTATTTTTTCTTAAGTGCAGGAAACAATAATGACCAAGTCTGCTAAAAAAATGATGGCAGAATTCTTCAGAAACTATGCAGCACAAAAAGGTCAAGTAGAAACATTTTATGAATAAATCATAAAATATTTTCTGATTAGATTTTTGCTCTTCTTTCAAAGAAGAGAACCTATCTACATCTCTACCCTCCTTAGGACAGAAAACACATATGTCTTATTGCAGTAAGAAAATTATGCTTCTTACTCCCCAAATTAATTTTTTTGCAAATACTGATGTGCAATTAGAGAGCACAACAGAAGAGCAGAAGTGTTATTCCTTCCATAGAGTACCACTTTTTGGTTTTTGGTGAAAATCAGAGCACTTCTTTCTAAAGAAAGACTGCATGCAAGAGAAAACAATTAATTTGCCACTTTGGCTCAATAGAGCAAATACATTTTACCTGAGGCATTAAAAACCCATAGTACGAACCTCAGAAAGTGCTCTCTCATTCAAGATGAGCAGAGAATCAGAAGACTGTCTGGCTTGGCCTGGCCTGTTTTGAGTCTTCTGTTATGAACTATACACAGTTTATCACTCCCCAAAGAAAGGGCCAGAACAATTGTTGAACTTCAAGGATAGTTGGTATTTCCTGAGGGATTTTGTAAATAGCTCATTTCTCTTGAAAATTACCTAAGTGGTGTAAGTTTTGAATGGGGAATCTCTGTCCAAGGTTTCTGTTTGCTCTAGCTGTGCCCCCTTTTCTTTCTTCATGACCCAGATGTCTTCAGAAAAAGACTCTCCAGCTCTGGCTGAGGTATGCAAAACATTGCCACCTGTAGTTAATTCCACTGAAGATTAAAACAAAAATAAAGATTAGAGAATCTCTACAGTACTTCAAATAGGTACGTATATTTTTTCAAATACAGACATGGTCCTGTATAGCACAGGAAAATTAAAACATCTTCTCAAATACATCTCCTGGCTAGGCAGACATTAGTTTTCAGAACATATAAAATTATCACTTGCTGCTGAACCCAAACATAGCTAGGTCTTACTGACAGTAGCATGTAGTAGAAAACAATTTAAATTACAGTATCTGACTGGTTTTCCTCCCCCTGTGCATAATTACAATTATTTGCAAAGCTTATTGGCATTGCTAAGCTTGCTAGTCACTTTGCTGTTTAAAGGCAGCACTGGTTCTCTAAACAAAGTAGTAGATGTGCTGTAAAGGAACTACCGAATATACTGCTGAGAGGTGATACTGTGTCAGCAAACACTGGCAACGGTGGCAGCATACGAGGGAATGGAAACAGGAGCGCAGTCAACAGGAATGTAGGCCAAAGATTATATCCTTAGCTTGATGTGTGCCGAAATATCAGTCCATTTCTAATTAAATTCACGTGTGTCCGGCGGGTGCTGGCAGACAAAGGAGCCCCTCGGTGCCGAGTCCAGCAGGGGGAGTTGGGCACCCACGGCCGCAGCCTCCGGCCACCGCCGCGCCAGGCGAGTCCTGCTGCCGCCGGGAAGCCACTGCCGGGCACCTCCTGTTCCCCAAGCGCCAGCTCAGTTTGGATCTGCAACTCGCGTCGACTACCCTACGGTACTTTTCAAACAACAGACAGGCTAAACTATTTCTCTAATGGTTTTTGTAACGCTTAATATGGCTCGTCCTGAAAAATTCACGAAGTCACGGAATCTTGTACAGCACCGCACACAACCTCCGAACCACTCTGTGATGAGTTCGGTTAGTATTTCAAAGCATTCTACCTCTGCAAACTTTTCAGTCAATTCAATGTTTTCTATAACTTGAGAACATCCTGAAGCAAAGCAGTTGAGCTTGCCTGTTTAAAAGTAATTACTCCTATTAGACTATTCAGTATCTTCTATAACTGCAGTACAATTATTGTGCAGGAGATTAAAAAAAAAATCCTTTAGTGATTTTGTGTTAATCTAGTTGATGTCCTAAATGGTACGTCCATGTTACTAGAAGCACCAGTATTTATAATAGATGTTCTTCTTTTGGCAGACATATGAAAGCAAAGCACTGTTACCAATATATTTTCCCATCCCAAGGAATACCCCGGAATCTTTGTGAAACTTTCTCGCTTTCATCACTGCTCAGCTCATCACACAAACCATCTGCATAAATAAAGATGTAAGCATCTGCTGTATGGCAAGTGGTCTCAGGGGCAGATGTTTTTATCCTTGCATTCATGTCACTGGCTTGGATACATTATTTGAACAGATGTACACAATCTGAAAGTGTCGTGTCCCACAGTGAAATGTCTCCAACTGCTTTCTATCAAAGTACACAAATGCTATTTGCACCTGCATTTATGTTAATGATATAAAGGCAGCAGGGGTTCCAGCAACGTGAGAGCTGATGCTAAGAAACACATTTACATGGCTAATTGAAGTTTGAGATCTCCCAGCACCAAATGACCATACTAACATGGATACAAAATGACTGAACTATACATTAACTTTAAAAAAAAGCCTATGGATTGAAAAAAAAATTAAAATAAACATACTCAAGGAGAAAAACTATTACTTCAGCTGGTGATACCCTTCTCCAATGTATACTTAAAAAAGACAAAAAGTATGAAATAAATTCCTAGGTAAATCAGGATAGCCTTATATTTCGCAAAATATTTGTATAAGATACACAATTATTTCATGTCAGAGTCATTTAAAAAAACATTTCATAAATCTGACAAGGTCAAAGGTTTTTCAGTTCACTGAGGCACACTGGTATTTTAGGTCATTATTGAGCATTGTAAAAAAACCCCATCACTTGCTCTGGTAAATATTTAACATGAGTGTGAATGACAGAATATGATGCTTCAATGATAATTTCATAATTCCTAGGAAAAAATAAAATCTGAGAAGTTAGATATTTATCATTATTCAGAAAAGTGCATCTATTTGAACATGGAGTTATGATTGCTTGTTATATAAGAGATAATCACCTTTCTTATAAAATATTTTAAATTGAGAAAAATACAGATGTCCTGAAGGAGTACAGATCCAATTACAGAACTCCTGCTCTTACATGACAAATCACAGCAGTGAAGGGTTTATGCTGTCACTCAAAGAACTTACACTAATCATTACTTCCATACTTAAATGAAAAATAACAAGCACTTTTGAAGTATGGAAACACTGACAAAAATGCTATAATGCATGTAACTGATGGATAGGTTCTACTGTGAATATCATTTATTTTCAAACCTTTTATTTGTAAGGAACTCACCAATGTTAGACATGTACATAAACCATTATAAAATGCTAATAGCCTCCATATTTTCAAAGTGCCAAATTTAAGAAACAAGTGGTGTTTGATGCAAATACAAAAAAGTATGAAAGTAAAAGAGTAAAAAAAATATAGATACTAATATATTTGTAGAATATCATCGTTTCACACTGATATAGTTCTGGGTCATGATCTAGTTATGACTTCTAAAATGAACCCTCACTTCCAAAGTCTACCATTCACTCCAGGTGCAAGTTGATAACACTGGATAATACTGACTGGAATGGATTTTGATTTAGGGGAAAAAAAAAAGCCTTCGAAAAAACCTCAAAGCAAATAACTAATCAGTTTCAAGTTTGCAAACAGCTTCACAGTCTATATTCTCCTCCTATTATTCAGAAATGGCTTTAACATAAGACTGTAACCAGGGTCAAATTCCTGTTACTTAAAGGAAAAATTAAATTAAGGCTTTTAAGTGTTCAAATGAAGTACTTCAGTCACAAGCATACAGATGTAGAGCACACTGAGGGGTGGACAGCTTTACCCAACAGTAAGTACTATCTCCCTTGAAAGAGTAGTCCCATTAGACACAGAACTCATCAACTAACATCAATTTGCATGACATGCTTCAGGAACCACTTCCTCAGAATTATTACAGCATCGTAAAAATACTCAGTCTTCACAAAAACAGGTAAAGTATAAACTTACATGACACTAAAAGCTCGAGGTTTCAAGTTAAGTAATATATAGTGCTTTTCTTAATTAACATAAGTACTAACAATGGAAACTTAACTGACAACCAGCAATGGTTCTGAAAGATCCATTAGAGCAGATGTTGTATCCATCAAACATTCACTCACATTTAAGAAGCATCATTAAAAATGACACTCATGTTAAAAATCATATTTAAATGTCAGCATTGTGACAGATCAAAAGGGAAAGGAAACTGAAGTTACAGCTACACATTTAGAGGCTTGGGAATACACAGTTCAGCACTAAGATCCTTACTAATAATGGAAGGAAAAAAATCAAGACACTAACCCTACTGAAAACTATATAAAACAAAAGTCGACTTTTGAAGAGACAAAACATGGAACAGAGAGTTAAACACAAAAAATGTTAGTAAGGATAGGAGTGCTGGAGAAAAGGCATTCAAAATAAAAAAAAAGGTCTAAGTTAATGTTTATTTTCTTGTTTCCCCTAGTCTTGTAGCACAATTTGGAGATAGATTTGACCCCATATTATATGGGGATCAAATATAGCAATGATTTTCAAATATATGAGGATTTAAAAAAATGTAATAAAACTTGAACACAATTCTGCTGAATCAAACAAGAAGCAGATTTATGCTTTTCAAGTTTCACCTACAGGTGGTAACAGTAATTAGCAATGCCCTAAAGAAGAAAACAATTCTAGATATTGCAATTGTTTAAAGTGATAAACGCTGCAGTATAACGGCTTTTTTTTTAAAAACCGTACTACAGTAGAATAGTAGACAAGAGTTATACAGCAATTACTAAGGATGAAATTTCTTCCACATTTTGAATCACAAGCATCTAATTTCCAAAAGAAGTATAGAAAGCATACTATACCTGCAGAAATTGTTAATGGATTCTGCATTATATCCTTTAATGGTTACGGCAATGTTCCTGGAAAGAAATACAGATACTTAGAGGCTCTGATAATTTTTCAGAAACTAACCAAAAAATTAACAGGACGATGGCAACAGTTTCCAGACCTGTATTTCAGAATGGATATCAGTATGTCCATACCTCATGCAAAATCACCACCAGAGTTTTAAACCAAGCATTTCTTTGGGCTCTTATATGCACTCTCCATATTTCAATACTGTGCACTACTAACTTAGTACACTGTGCACTACTAACTTACTTCTTGTAATTAAAACCCCCTGTTAAAGCCAGGAAAGAGGGAATGTAATGACTTCCAATGGGACAATGCATTCTTAAGAATCACAGACAATGTACGGTCATTTTCCTTTAAACACCTGTTGGACCTGTTGGAGAGGCTCCCAGAGGAGAACCACTAAGTTGATCACAGGGCCGGAACACCTCTCCTATGAAGACAGGCTGAGAGAGCTGGGGATCTGAAGAAAAGAAGGCTCCAGAGAGACCTTAAAGCACCTTCCAGTACCTAAAGGCAGCCTGCAGGAAAGCTGGAGAGGGACTTTTTACAAGGGCACATACAGATAGGACAAGGGGTAACGGCTTTAAAGTGAAAGACGGTAGGTTTAGATCAGATATTAGGAAGAAATTTTTTACTATAAGGGTGGTGAGGCACTGGAACAGGTTTCCCAGGGAAGCTGTGAATGCCCCATCCCTGGAAGCATTTAAGGCCAAGCTGGACACAGCTTTGAGCAGCCTGGTCTAGTGGAAGGTGTCCCTGACCACGGCAGGAGGTTTGGAACTAGATGGCCCTTAAGGGTTCCTTCCAACCCAAACCATTCTGTGATTCTATGTGACTGCATGGATCCCACAGAACTGACTGATCAGCAGAATCTTCTGTGGATACTACAGTGAAGATATTAATTTGTTCTTGTGAACCAAATATTACACTGCCATCCTGCATGAATCTGATGTTGGTACTTAGAACAAGACCTGATGCACTACATTTGACAAAATGGCATTACATCAAATGGCCACCCATGGCTAACTTAAGAATTAGCTATTTCTCTCCAGTGCAGTCAAGTGCGTTCTTCAAGCTTTGGTGTAGTGTGATTCAACAGTCAGGTAAGAAAGACATAGTAGAATATAGTGACAATATAAAACTGTGTTATTATCCACTTAGATTTTCTTTTTCATAAAACGGCCTAGCTTTTGGAATGGCTGCATAATAGTTTGGGGTTCAAATGACCACCACTAACATGTAAGAAGTCACAAAGGGTATAAAGCTCTTGTTCTGATGCAATTGGAGGCTTTGGGAAGGTAAAAGATATTGACTATTGACTAACATAACAACTTCTTGGGAGTTTACCCAGATCCAGGCTTTCATACCAGTGCACATCTACAACATTCCCACAAACAAATCTAGCCAAACAGATACAGAGATTGCTTACTTTCCCAGTCAATTTAATAGCCAAGAGAATCTTATGTAAAGAACATGCCAAACATGCACCCAAGACCCACACAAAATACCAAAAATTGGTCTTGATTAAATACAGAAATAGTTAGGACAAATTCTGATGCACTTCCCAAACAAAATAAGTCTTGAATATATTTCTGTATCATCGTGCAATTGACTCTCGAACAGCCATGGTGAGGTTCTGGGAAGGAGATGGTTCTGTAGGTAGCAGTGAAGTAAAAAAGAGGCAAAGCCAATTCCATCTTCAGGAGTTCAACACCAAAGAATAAAAGAACATTAAGTGTGGCTGCTGTGAGGAGACCTCTCAGTGAAGCTCTTTGGTACCTGTACCTACTCCGCTGAGCCATATGTAAATAAGCAGCTCTGGTACATCAACCAGCACCTCCTGGCAGAGGTTTGCTGATGAGTACCAGCAGGTCCCAGGCTCCCCCAAAGAGCCTCTGTCCGTGGTACTTAACCCTGAGCTGTCAGACCCAGCACACAAACACGGCAGCTCATCCAAATGTAGCTTAACACCATGGGAACATATAGACAACTCCCTTAACATACGAGAATGGAACAGATCACTTTGATGTAATTTTGGAATGGCAAAACACTTCTAGAAACTAGTGTTGGGTTACAACTTCTGTGTCACCTACACTGTAACACATCCTTTTTTAAGACTGTATTGATCAATAACATCTCTTAAGAGAATCAAAGTCAGTCAAAGTTTTTCTTCTGCTTTAGTATTTCCAGCACTTCAAAATGTACTGAAGTGGTTAAAGAAACACATATTCTTGTAAAAACAATGTAACAAATGATGTTCAAATGAAGATTCTCAAAATTATTATTCTGAAGTCACACTTCTTAGGTTTTCATGGTCCTTCCCTGTGTATGGGAGGATTATATTATGTAAGAGGGCCCCACCTGTTTTACAGTCTTACACTCAGAACAAATTTTAGGTCACCAACTAATAATTCAGGATATCCAACTGCTTTTACTGAATACTGAGGAGGCAAACGTTCTTACAGTTTTCCCTGGTTATATTTGAGTCCAATACTGGCTCTTTCCAAATACTGGAGATGACATCGATTATTTCTATCTTATATTCTCATAAATTCTTCTCCACCTGAGAGCCTATCCCAATGACAAAACTTTTAAAATTCTATATAATCTTAAAATTTGTTTTAATTACTTTGTAACCCTAGCATAGGACAGTAAGTAAAATCATTCAAGCCACAGTACTCCAGAACTCAAAACAGTTCTCTAGAAATCTGCTGCTGACTACTCAGAGATGAAAAGAAATCTATTACAAGAATTTCAAGTGAAGTGGAGTTGAACAGAATTAGAAAGTAAAATCTATCTTAATGACATAAAATAAGCTCCATCATGCCTATACTATTCCTTATGTTACCACAGAATGAAAGGATAAATTAATTTTCAATCAGAAGAGGCAAAAATAGCAAATAAACTGGAAAAAAATCCTACACTGTAACTTGGTCTCTAACAACCAAAGAAAGCAGAGCATATACATGTAATAATTTAAAAGCAATTTTCACAGGACGATACTCACAGGTCTTTTATATGAAACAGGTGTCCTGATAGATACACTGAATCTGAATATCAGTTGAACCCAATTAACCTAATTTGATGCTTGTCCATACTAAGACATTTATCTTAGGTGTTACACAAAATCCTTTAGGATATTACACAGAAAGTGATAAATAGGCTGTAAAGGTTATGACATTAATTTTACTGTCATTCTCATGCTTTAAGCAGACATCAAAACTAAAAACCTCGTCCTCTGGGGAAGAAGAACTATCTGAAAGTAATTATAGGACTTATTATCATAACAGTATTAAACTAAACCACTATGACCCTAACCGAATTTATTTTTGGTACCTTTTGTTAAAAGAACAAAGCTTCTCAATGACGACTGCGCCTTCTAACGCAGTGAACATTAGTTCAGGTACCGGAAGAAAGCATTAAATCAAATCTTATAATTTCATACTAAGCTTAATTATGAATTTTAATTTAAAACTAAGCATGCAAAGAACTGTTAGTCAAATATTATGTAATTTAATTTCTGAAGGAAAACACTGAGCTAAAAGGAAAAATTAAATACTTAGAACAGTTAAGAAAAGACATTCTCCTGACAGAAGCCTGTGAAATGCCCATTTGTGTTTCAAAAGCAAATTTATTCACTTCATTTTTCACACCTGTTCTTTCACATACTGTGCCACCTTGTAAATGAGTGCCATGCAAATATTATTTCCCTTAATTTAGAAACTTTTCAACTGAAACCAGGTTTGCCTAGAAGCATGAAAGTATTGAATCAACATAGCTTCCAGGAAAGTTAGCAAAATCCATTGGTATATAAAGGCCAAGTTAGACTTGAAATAAAAGATTAACACACTGAAGCTACGTGAAAATACTGAGGAAGATAAAAATGACAGACACAAAGACTGACTAGTGTAACACACAAAAGCATTTGTTCAAGCAAGTATATTTGCCAAAAGCCTGCAGTGCTTGGCTACTTTATAAAATCAAGCACAAGGCATTAAGCCAATTTGTTTAAAAAAATGAAAACCCCTCCAAAACCCCAAGCCCAAATAACCAAGCAATAGCTTATCTGCACTTCCAAAAACCTGCAAAAATATTCTGCACTTCAGTATCCTCATCTTCAGTCTCAAATGTCTGATTTATTCTAACTTTTCTATTTTACATTGTATTTTTACACCAGGATTTCATCCTGTATCAGTAGATCCTTGTCTTCCTGTTCTACACCCAAAGAGATATGGACGTAGTCACAAAGAACGGCTTTCTTACAAGTGAAATTATAGAGTGCTTATGATTCCATACTTAGATAATTAACCAGAGGGAAACGTGTGTCCATGGCAGAATTCTTTTGGCTGAGCCCATTAGATGACTTCAGCAGAACCACAAAAAGAAACAGAACAGCACAAACCCAGCAGACCCTAAAACTCAGGCTATTTTTAAACTTTCGGTCATCCTGTGAGATGGACCAGTCCGAGTGCATTTCCTGAAGTTCAAGCCTTGCATGGACTGAATGCCACAGTGGCAATCCTGGACAAAAATGCCTCCCTTCATACTCTGTTGGGTGAAGTGGGGAAGGGTTGGCTGGCATGCCTACCCCATGCCCATCTGTCAGAGTGGAACTGTGCCTACACGACAGGTTCTATGCTACTTTCGGTAACATGTTGCTGAGAATAAAAGCTTATTTATGAAACAACATAGGGCAACTTCAACGTTCAGCTTAAAATAGCAAGCAAATGAAAAATGATTGCTTTCCTTGAGATTAGTCTTTCAAAATCAACTTCTAAGGTTTTTCAATTGTATGAATAAACTAACTAGCACATACACTGCAAGAAATGAGGCTTTTCAACACATTTT